AACCCAGACACTCAGTCCAGAACCCAGTCGTCTCAGTCCAGAACTGAGACAGGTCCCCAACTGAGGTACAACATATATATTGATATAATACTTTCCAATTACAAAAAAACTTGTTATTTTAATACTAAGAAAGACATCAATCTACAAGGATAAATTTAATCCTTCTTACATTCGAGTTAAAGCTATGATTTCGTTAATACTGGCAGCAGCAGATACCCTGCCTAACCCTGATTGGGTTCGCTCTTCTCTAATAAGAAGGTATTCGTGGCTTGTGGGCATTTGCATAAGAATGCATAAAATACATGTATTGTTGATCATACCGAAATGGTGAGAATAATTATCAGTCGGACCGTCGTTTGTCGTGTCAGAATGAGGGACGGAGGGGCCACAGACTGTCTGAAAAGATACTGGAAGCGGACAAGAACTGTTTTCGACTTGATCGTGGGGAGGTGGATTCAATTGTTCATCCATTGTGTCAACGTTACATTCTGAGGGGTTACATTGATACGATGTATAATCGCCTGTATAAGTTCCGTAGTCCATCGTATCGACATTATCGGAGAGGAAAACGGAAGTAGCAGAAGGGAGGAAATCTTGAATATGAGGTTGGGATTGCAAATTAACAGGCACGTAAATTGGAGGATTGTTGTCTTCAAAATTAAAGTCCTCCGGGAAAGTCGATTGACAGATGTTGTTATAATGTTCGATATAATCGTTGTTCATATTATTTGGTTCGCTATCAAGTCTTTGATTTTAATGATTAAGAGTTGCTCGAGCTATATATATATGTTCTGGGATTTGACCCGTTTCGGGATTGTCACATTAGAATAATCTCTTGCACCAATAAACTAAAGTCAAATATCAATAATAAACCTCTTACATTATAAATATACAGTCAAACCTCGTTGTACCGATACTTTCGTTCCGCCAAAAATTTATGGGGTATCGGTAGATCGGGGGTTTTTTTCCTACCAATAATATGTGAGTGATACGCAAATATCGACGTGTCAAGCTTTATTATTTACTTGTATAGATTAATCGTTGCGAATAAAATTATCAATAGATGTTT